AGATATTCTTGATAAGTTAGAAAGTCTCACTTATGAATTGTTTCCAAAAGCCATGAACATTTTATGGCTTCTAAACTTAACTTTAGTATACAAAACTGATGAATAATATTGTCTTTCTGTAGCCATTTTGGATTTGGTGGTTTCCTCTCTGCATTTTAGAATCTGGGCATATATGCGGGTAAGGCCAATGCAGGGCTGGTGCAGGTCTCCCCAACTCAGACCCAGATTTCACAGATCGCTGAAGGAAAGGCAAGAAGCTCAGAGCCTCCCTGAGAAGTGAAAGGTTTGGACAAAGACCTCATTAGTTTAGAGATCCTTGATGTATGGCACCTTCATGTTTAGAGCATTTACTTGTGCTCCTCAAATGAGCTTCAAGTAGCATTTCATGACTGAGCAGGAAGGAATCTGCCCAGTGGGCAGATCTGCCCCATGCAGAGCAACAGTGAGCAGTGATCATGCTCCCTGGACCCCTTACAGGCCACCCTGACTGCCTTCCCATGCGTGCTGGGAAGGAACGTTGCCCGCTCACAACCTGTACGTGCAAACACACATTCTAATCCCTGCTGAAAGGGCCGCTGGAAAGCTCCTCAGTCAAAAATGCTCTTAACATTCTGCTAGATTAAGAAAAATTGGAAATACAAGCTCCTATATATGTTTTATGAAAAAAATAATGCTATTAAGGGGTGTCAACTTTAATACTATCCATTATGAATCTTACAGAGTCAAAGACAAGAATATCTGGATACATAATGTTTAAGTTCACATGAACTATTTTTAGGGCAGGGTCCATTGAAAACAACTTATTAGACAAAAATATCCATTTTCTACAGTCCCAACCCCTAAGGACCTGCGGCACTGAACAGCATTCCCCTTCACGAGCAGGTCAGTCCAGTCTGCCCTGGAAACTCACCTGATGTTCCTTCTCACAGACCAAGCTCACCTCGGAGTGGCTTCCATGCCTTGGTGATGCTGCCTTCCTGGGTTCTGTTCCACCTTGTTGTTTAAAGAAGAGTCAAGGCTCAGAACCTGTGTGTGTCACCAACCATCCTCTCTTTATAGCTATTGCCTTTTGCAGGAAGAGAAGGGAGTTTCGTAGAGACCTCTGTAGGTCTAGAGTAATGCTGGGCACACCGCTGGTTACGAAGCTGCCGCAGGCCCCTCTAACTGTCACGGGTGACCCGGGAGCATGGACAGTTGTCACAGAGGCCTGCGACAGCCAACCTGACACTGCCTTGGGGAGGGCACTTGCTTTTCTCAAGCTGTATTTTGACAGAAGCTCAGCCACCTGGCAGACTTTCAGTCAGGCACTTAGCCCTTGGAGCCAACTGTAGGGTATGTGAGTGTGCCATGATGGGGTCCCTTTCCTGCTTAAACTTTGCAGAGTGGCAGACACCCAATGTATTGAAATGTTTTTAGCTGTTCTGGAGTTAAACGGAACGCATCCCAAGACTATGAATATGAACTGAACTTTTTGGTGCCTGAGTCGGTTTTCTCGGGACTCAAATTTTGTAAGTAGAACTGACTTCCCACCCCCCGCTGGCAGGGACAAATCTTAATAAAGCTTTTTCTTTCATTAAAATTTAACTTTGAGGGATCCCTGGGTGGCGCAGCGGTTTGGCGCCTGCCTTTGGCCCAGGGCGCGATCCTGGAGACCCGGGATCGAATCCCATGTCGGGCTCCCGGTGCATGGAGCCTGCTTCTCCCTCTGCCTATGTCTCTGCCTCTCTCTCTCTCTCTCTGTGTGTGTGTGTGACTATCATAAATAAATAAAAATTAAAAAAAAATAAAATTTAACTTTGAAAAAAAATAAATAAAATTTAACTTTGGAAGCTTTAAAGAAAGATGGACTTTTCTTGGCTTTCTCCAAGAACCAAATTTGCACGTCTTAAATACAGGAAGTCATGGACCACCACTGTCTTCTTTCTGGAAGACACCTTCCTAATGTAGACGGTTCAGTAGGCTCTTTAGCCAGAATACGTCCCCCGGGGCGCTGAGCAAGCCTCTTCCCCTTGGACGCTTGCTCTTATATTTGAGTAAGCCATTCTTTTCTCTAATTCTCAAAGTCTTGGCCAGTAGCTGTCGTCAAGGATCTGAAGACACAGCTAGCTCCCTCTCTGCTGGACCTGAGGCCTTCTTAATGTCCTCCTGTGAACACCTATTTGAAGATGAGGTGATTTCTGGGAACCTACCAATGGATTGTTTTACTATAACAAGGAATCATCCAACACGTTTTATTTCTTCATTTTCAAAATGTTTGGAAGTGCCTTTACAGATATGTTAAATATACTGAGGAACATATACAACAGATCATACTGAAAACCATGGGTAATATGAGAAAGACATCATACAACCGAAAAAGTATATAGAAGCACAATGTTATCACAGCATGCTCTGTTTATAATATCGGGCGTGTACCAGGCAACAAGAACCCAACTCAGAAAAATAGAAAATAGGGGATGACACCGTTTTTTTCAAATGTCAGACAAAATATATCCCCTGCTGTTGCTCTGAAGCCACCCAGAAGTGGGCTGTGTGGGTTTGCCATTCACGGCACTCTGCAGCCCAGATCAGATCCACCTGCCTTAGAAGAGCCTGGGATGGGGGAACTGACAGCAGGGATACAGATCTAAATTGTGAGCAAACAGCATGCTCTTTAGACACATGGTATAGATAAGCAGCATTGTAAGAATCGTCTGCCACAGAGAGACATATGTGACCCCCTACCAAGAGCATGGATCTGCCGTATGATACCCATTGTTATTCACAGTTGTCTTTCAGCCAACTGGTGTGATCACTTATTACTTAATTCTCTATGTCTCGGCTCCTGCCTTTCATAGTTTTGGCATTTGCTTAAATCCACGACCATGCCTAGAACATCAGCTGTCAGGGGGGTCGAGCAACAGATTCATTCATGGAATCTGAGTTGAATTTTAAACTGATGTTCAAAATAAGGCTCCCAGTGGAGGACAACTATAGGAAAGGTCACTCACTTGGTGGTCGGTGCCAAGAGGAAGCACTTTGGTCCCTCCCTTGGCCAGTCTTGGCATCCTTAGGGATGTGGGCATCTTTTGTGGCAGTGGTAAGCAATTTACTGCACCAGAGCAATTGAAACAGTAAAAGGCCCAACACAAGTTTACAGATGTGCCCAGCAGAAATGCATGACCAGGAGAGTGAAATACAGTGCTGAGAACTCTGGAGAGTGTGCTTATCAATGCCTGGTGGGTGCTCCTTGTCGGCCTAAAATATTCATGGGATTAGAGCATGTTTGCCAGAAGTGGGAACTTACCCAGATAAAACAGAGATTCTACAGTGGTTATGACAAAGAAAACAAGGCACACTCTCTGAGGAAGCATCTCTAAGTGAGGAAACTACATTACATGGGCAGTGTCTACACTGGCATTGGTGTTATTTCATTCAGCGAGTCAAATTCCTACAAAGGAGGTCATCTGCAAGTGGCAGATTATTTTAGTTCCAACCTTGTTATAGGAACTAGAAAGTGGTTCATGCTCTTTGGCCAAAGGAAGAAAAGAAAGAAGAGTCAGGTCAGTAGTGATTTAAGCCTAGAGAAGGACCATTTTTGAATGGGTAAAGAGGTCACTATCACATGGACCCTGAATTCCAGAGCAACATCCATCTCTCTGTAAAGTGCATTATTCCAACAGGCAGTGCAGATGCATAAGAAAAAAAAATCATCTGTCCTCTTGGCTTCTGTAGTATCTAGAGATTTCAATCCTTAAGATAAAATTAAAAAGTTTCATCTTGACTGACCGAGGGCAATAATTAAAGCCAAAGGAATCATAAAGGCATCTCATGGAATGTGAAGATTGTCTAGTTTAGATGACATGATGACCTTCTTGGACTGGGGCAGTGAGAAGCTTTCCAAGGAGAAAGTTGTCATCTGGAAAGTGACAGTGTCCTGCTCACCTCGACTCATAGAAGAGTCTATAAACATTGTCACCCAGGGTACAATGCTTCTGCACTTTCCTGTACTTTTTAAAATTTCTAAAAGCAAGCAACAAAAAACCCTCCGTAACTGGTCTAAATTGTGTAAAATAGTAGAGAAACTAAAGGCATGAAGGAGTCTAATACTCCCAAAATGTGAAATGTGGGGGTTTGCATTTTGCACACACTCAAAAATCTAAATGTAACAGATTCATTCTTTTACAAACCTTCTTTTTTCAAGCTACTTTCCCCCTTCTCTTTTAGAAACCAACTTTACTGACTACGTGCACACAGACGGGGACCTGGGGAAAGCCTGCCGGGTCCGTGGCTCTGTCCTATGTTCCAAGGACAGGGACAAGGAGGAGGTGGTTGGTGGGAAGCATCCATCCAGAGTGTGGGAAACCCTCCACACCTGGGAGCTCATCTGAAGCCTGCTACCCTGCAGAGCCTACTCGGTAGGGAGCATTTACTGTGACATGTCAAGTTACTGCTCCATCCTGAAAGCAAGGAGAGACATTTGCCAAAATGCCAGAGACGATGCCGGCAGTATGGGAAGGGCACGCATGCCGGCGGGGGACGTGTGGGAGCTGGGCAGCGCCTGGCTGGCGGGCAGCTAAAACACCAAGTCAGCCTCCCAGGCAGGAGCCCGGCACGCTTGTGTTTTTCTTGTGTCTACACCCCTGCCCCGGATACATACACACGAGTGAACCATTGACAAGGGAAGACCAGAAGGGAGGCTGAGGCCGAGGGCCACTGCATCCTGCAGGTCAGTCCGGAGCCCAAGACGGTGGGCCCTGCATGGGGATGTGGGTGTGAGGAGCCCTCCCTCGGAGACATCCTGGAATAAGTGTGCCCCAGCTGGGAAAGCAAATGAGAAGCTTTCCAAGGTGAAAGTTGTTTGCAACCATTTATAAACATTTTCTTTTGGTTTCCATTTATTGCTGTATCGGAGGTATTAAAAATATCTGGCAAAGAAGAAAAAATAGACTATATAGTAAAATCATACAGAGGCTAAAATTGAAAAGGGACTATGTGCATAAAATAATGAAGCCACGGAAGAATGTTTAAATGTTTATTTTCATGTTAAAAATGATGAGTTACCCTGTGGTTAGAATATACCCTTATGCTGGGAAATGTAGTCACTTTATTTCTGAAATATTTCCAGGGGAAAAAAAGAGGAAAAAAAATCCGAAAGTAATGAAGGGTAAGATCAAAATATTCTGGCAGATTCCATCAGTGATGCCGCCTCGAGCCGCGCCCTCACCCAGTGCTCGGTGCTTTCCCCACCTTGGGCTTAGATATCTTTGAGCGGAAGGCCTGTACATTTAAAAGCTACAGCGTTGCATGCTTTGACTGTAAAATGTATTTATTCCAGCACACTCTCAGCGCCTCGGGGTATTGCGTGGGTTACATACAAAAATATCTGTTGTCCATACCCTCCCATAATCTCTCCACCACCCGTCCTGTCCCTTTACATCACAGGTGATACGCGGCACATCACACGTGTAGAATTTCGATGCAGAAGGTGGTTGCCGAGTCTATAAACCATCCGTCGTGTCATTTACAGAGACTAGATGGAGAATGGAAGCCATTTTTGAGATGATTCGAGTAGAAAAGACGATGGTCCCAGAGACGTGTAGGAAGCAGGTGCAACCGCTCTGTGTGGTCGTTGAGGACGGGCTGGTTAATTTTCTGACACAGAGCCCTGACTGGTCCCAACACCCCAACACCGGGAAGATGCCTTTCCAAAAGGGTGAAGAAAGGATGTAAAGGATCAAAATGCATAAAGGCAGACTTCCTAAAACTTAAAAGTGAACAAAGTAGAAAGTACTCGTCTAGGGATGTGGCAATGGGACAAAAAGTGATCCGTGTTTTTCCGTGTCAACGTGTCCACAGAAACCCTCTGCCTGGAGTTTAAGTCTAGGAGCTGATCCTGGCCAGGGTGCAACACAAACCAGCTGGGAGGTCAGTCCGTTCTCTGTTGGCACCCACGGAGCATTCTGAGGCTTGCTGGGTGCTGTTCTTCGGGGAAGACTGGCAGGGTCTACTTGCGCTCCCTCGGATGGGACACTGAGCATCTGAACTCCACTTCCGTCATGTGGCAGCTGCTCCTGGATCCTGGGGTGCGGCCTGGGGGGTAGCACAGCCGCGGCTGGGAACACTGGTCTCACCCTCCCCATTCTAGGTGGCCTGGTCCCCGGGGGGCGCCTGAGCTGCCCCCTCAGGAGGCCTGCTGATGCTGGCCTGGGCCAGCGGGGCGGGGGAGGGATCCTAAGCATTCACTTTTTGGGGAGAGGAAGGGGTTTTACTGCCATTATTCTGTTCAGGTGATTAATCACCCCGATCGACTGGATATTCCAGCTGTAAAAAACTGGAAACTCCAGACAGCCTGCAGGCCCCCAGGGAACGGATTTCAAGGCTTCATAAGTTATGTCTTTGCCCCATTTTAGTTTAGATATTTAGGGGCACCGTTCCTGTTTATTTTAAATGATCTAGTTGGAAAACAGGAGGCTATAATCCAGGGCTGCTGGTGAGTGGGACACATTTAGAACAAAACTTCACTGAAATCCTGGTAAGCTGTGAATAGTGCCCACGCCAAGTGGGGGACAGCCCACGGCGCTGGTTCCCACTAAATACCATACTCTCTGGCTCCTATTTACACACTCACATGCGTATGTGTGTGCGCGTCTTGTGAGTGTGTGCTGTGTGGTGAAAGGGACTTCCCCCCATGACCTTCCGTGTGACGTTCATGTTGAACTGAGTTTGAACAGAAGCTGGCAAAGGTGACTGTACGGAGTCTGTATCAGTCTGGGTGCCTCTGGCTCACCCACGGGGGGCATCTTCAGGACAGCGGTCAGTTTCCCGCTCCCGAGAAGCCACTGGCACGGTCTCTGTTCTGACGCTCCCTAAGTTTGCGCTTTGCCTGCACCAAGCACTCAGACCCCAGGAAATGCTCTGCTTTGCAAGCTTCTCAGTAACGCTCCCCATGACAATGGTAGTGTCCCTTGTCCTTTCCCAGATCACCACCCACCCTCCCCAGGGCCTCACTGTGCCAGTGGGGGTGGCCTGTCATGTGCGCACACACGTGTGTGTGTGTGGGGGGGGGGGAGGGCTCAACCCCTATACCAGCTGAGGTTTCTCAGTTTCAGACACAAAGTTCCTGTTATTTCGGAATGCTGAAGATCCAAAGGGAGAGAAAATTGAGAACATCTTGCAGAAGGAGCGGGACTCATTGGATAGCTGTGTGGCCCTTCCCTTCAGACTCCCTGGCTGGCACCGAATCCTTGGGTGCGGTGAGCAGCGCAGTCTCCTCTGGCTCCCCGGGGCGCTCCTCCTGCCAGGCGTCAGCCTTCTCTTTGCGAACTCCCTCTGAAGCCAACGCCCGGGTCTCCTGACTTCCTTCATCCATCACATTGAAAGATTTTTGAAACGTCACTGGCCGCAGCCCTAAACTCCCACCTTAAACACAAGATTGACTGGACACTGGCCTCTCGAGATCAGGCCTCCATCCCTGGTGATTCATGCACTGTTTACAAACCCACCGCAGTCCTGTCGGCAAGAGACACAGGTAGAACGTGGCTGTGGTGGCCAGAGGAGGTGGCCAGAGGAGGCGGAGCTGTCATGCTCCCGTGCACAGGAAGCCACACGACTAAATGCCTCTCAGAGCTCACCCATCAGCCGGGTGGGGTCAGGAAACCACTTCCTTGCCCGTCCTGCAGGTCTTCGTGACTCTGGTCTTTACATTTCTATGTCTTAGAGATGCAGATGGAATAGGTAGGCTAGTCCCATGCCCGTTTTCCCCGTCATCCCATCTTAACCAAATGGCGTTATGTTCTCCCCTAATCTGAAATTGTTGCTTTGCTTGAAACCATGCCTACTATTCTTTGAAAACACTTTTTAAAAAATTATGCAGCGGGTCATGCTTTTTTTCCTGTTGCCACTCTGACTTTCCGACAGCTATAGTTTTCCTACATATCTACTTCTTAAACCCTCAAAGTCATTTATTTTATGAAACTTGTAAGCAAACCCATTCTTTTCTCCATCAGAGCACACTCTGTGTAGGTTTTAGCTCTGCCAGAGTCAGGATGGATGATTTTTGCAGGGGCGGGGAGAGGGATGGGGGACGTAATTATATGGATGGATTTTTACATATTGCTAAGTTGAAACATCATTTTACTTACTTTCAAAAAAAAAATTTTTTTTTTTTTGCTCTGGTAAAATGGGAGTGTAATCTGTATTTCCTACACAATTTCCTTTCTGTGTATAATTAATTTAAAATTTTTATCTCAGTTTGGATAACAAATTGTGTTGACCAGAAAGCACCAGTATAAACATGACTATCTCAGGGTCTTTCTGCCCTTAGAAACACACTCCAGGAGTTCCCCACAAATCTTCCACAAGCAGAAGATAAAAACAAATGTGGTTGACAAGTGGTCACCAGAGTTTGTAAGCGTCGTATAGAAAACTGTAAAGATGGCCCTCCCTCGCAGTAGATTAATATTTTATGTAAAATCCCATGTCCCAGGCTGATACAAGGAGGTTCCACAACAAAGAGAAGGAAGGACAGCGTGAGGATAAGCTTCTCAGACATTGCCCCTCAGGTAAGGAACGTGGGCAACCAGAGAACACCTGACGTCCTGCGTGGACGCGGCAAATGTCAGTGACTAAAACTCATGTGTAAATCAAACAGCTCAGAGAGGAGACCGCGATTGCTTTTCTTCATGTTTCAAAAAAGAATTGCAGAGGCCAAAGGAACCAGGTGCAGGTGCAAATGTGTATAAAAATAATGAGCAGCCTCGTAACAAATGAGGGCGGCTACATTCAGCATCTTTCACGTACGTCCAGTCTCAGGCCAAGGGCAAGGAATGTCCACTGTGCTTTAAAAGTTCTAGGAATAGAAAAACCAACACCCGAGCCTTTTCTAATTCCACACGGCCGTTTGTCGCGAGATGACTAACAGTGTCTGTGGGGTCAGGTTTAGCGTATTTGAACCGAGCTAGTACCAGGCAGCAGACACAACTGTCATTTTAGAATTTCTCCAGGGTCTACATGTGGCTGCTTTAGAGACATCTCCCGGCTTATAGCCCGGCCGCGATAGCCCTCCAGGCCTCTGACACCTGCTCAGAAAGGGATCCCCCCCAGACCGCCACAAATTAAGCTTTGTTAAATCATCCCCTATTGCTGAACAAACTCACTGCTCCACCGTTCAAAAAACAGAAGGCATAAAGGTGAATACAAACGTAAGAAAGTTCACATGTGGTCTTGCAGCCTCTCCATATAGTCTCTTAGGTCCCGGGGGCCCCCCAGCCCCGTGTCCTGACAGACCCACTTGATGTTGTCCTCACTGTCGAACAGGATGGAGTTGGTGTACGGGCCGCCGTCCTCCGGGAGGATGGTGGTGTAGGAAGTGAACTTGACTCTCTTCCGCTTGGGGCCCGATGGATTTAGAGGCTCACTTTTCATGTCTTTCTCATAGACATAGTCAGAGGGCCTGAGCAGCTGACTATGGAAAGTCTTCTGGGAACCGCCATTGAGAAGGAAGTTCCTCTCCTCGAACTGCAGGCCTCTGTCTAGCATGGTTGTGCACTCCTCCGACGGGAGGGTGATGTCCACAGGGTTCTCCAGAAGTTCCACCTCGTTCCCCAGCCAGACCCAGTCATGGGAATGGGGGATGTTGCCTTGCTCGCTCACGGCGAATCTTTTGTGTCTGTATTTCCAAGCAAATGCCACACAGTTGATTAAGAAGACCAGAATGGCCAGGCAGAAGACACAGAGCAGGGCGTACATGCCGATCTCCAGGTCAGTTAACCCCCTTGAGGTCACGGTCAGGTCACTGGGATTGTTGGCTTCCGGTAACTTCCCCGGAGTGGGGAAGCTTGTGAAGGTGTCTGGACTGCCACTCTTGAGCAACTTCTTATCTTTTCCTTCCAGGGGAGACTGTGGGGTTGTGCTTTTGTTGCCACGTTCTTCTTGGCCAACGGAGGCACCATGTTGGAACCACTCCTGGACTGCTCTCTCCTGGTTTCCCTCACGCTCTATGGAATTACTGAGGTGGTCTTTGTATTCTCGACGGAGACCCTCAATATCGTTGGTGCCTCCTTGGTGCTCATCAATATTTGGTTCAAATCTGACTTTGACATTTCCTTTACCCACGGCAAGAACACTCTTCCTCTTGGTCTTCTGACAGGGCTCGCTAATCATCATTTCTAATTTAATCAAGGGCCCTTGCCCTTCACCCTGTGCGACCACAACTGGCCATCTGGACTGAAGGTTTGCCTGGACAGACACCACCATTTCATCCAATGATGATACAGTAACTGAAAAATCCTTGGGATCATAAATGTCTAAGGGTGTCACCGAACCATCACTGAATAAAATCCAAGAACTGACTATTGCTTCCTAAGAAAAATGAAACCAAAGGATTATGTTATAATCAGGTTCCTTCAAATTGCAAACATACACATGATTTCCCATAGAATACCATTTAAATATACAGACTGAGAAAAATAAACTTTTATGTGAACTGGCATCAGTAATATGCTTTTGCCCCACTGATGTGAGGAGCAAATAATATGCTTTGATGAATGCATTAAAGTGCATATTAATTTATTGCATGCCATACAACAAAAGTTGACTTCAATCTTTCTAAAAAAACATTTTGAAAGATCAGGCAATTTTTCTGAATCAAGATCAGGTGCAGCTAATCAGGCTCCTGCTCCAGATAATATCACTTTGAACATCCTTTATTAGAAAGCCAGTGCTGATGAAGCAGAACACACACCAGCTGAGGGGCCTGGGGAAAGATACATTATGAGACGAGCTCCCTGGAAAGGTACAGTGTCCTGACGCCTCTACAAACTTGTTATGAGTTTAAAGATGGAGGAGAGCTTTAGAGTTGGCAATTACGGTAAACAGCAGCGATTTGGTGCCTGTTAGCAATGCCTGTTTAAGCAGCTGAAACGGCAATGCCCAAGTTAAAAAAAAAAAACAAAAAAACAAAAAAACAAACACCTGCTTTGGCAGAGTGACAACATGTGATTCTTTGGTCATGGTCTAGCTGAGTATGCCGAGCGCAGATAAGGCTGCAGTAAAGCAATTAGTGTATAGACACGAGGTTGGTGTATAAAAGCATGAACAAGGAACATATCTAAGTCACTGGCATTTTTCTTGAAAAGGGACAGGCCGGACTGGATAAGAAGCAGAAAGAAGTTTCAAGGACCACCCGATATAGCTATGAGGGCTCTACTGATCTTCTCGGCAGGTGTGAGAGGGAGGGAAGTGGTCTCAACTGACCGGGGACAAAAGGACCCTGGAATCCCACCTGCTGCGGGGCTGTGAGAACGTCCTGGGCAGACACCGTGGAGACGATGGCTCTTTTGTCCGCTCTGTGAGGCTTCAGGGCAAGAGACAAGCCGGCCACCAGCTGCACGCCCAGGTCTGCAATGGTGACGCGGTCATCTAGGACGATCACTGTCTTCTCAGCCAGGATGGAGTCGGAGAGAGGTGAGAGCACCTTCAAAGGAAGCAAGCAAGCTCCAGTCTCTGCACCACACAAGTGTCTGAAACTCCTAACTGACATTTCCACTAACATGTTCCCTCCATTCTCTGCTGGATGGGTGCCCTTGTGGGAACCGTGTGGGCACACGGGGTATCCAATGGTTGAGTGAACTCACCAAGTAGAAGTGTTCGACAAATACCATGCTGGCCCATTTCCTTTCCTTTGACTCTGGCCATGACAATACCAGTGTATTTCCCAAGAAGAGCTCAATTTAACATAGAGGCAACAGCTAAAGACTGTTTCCCAACCACTAATATTTAGATGTGAAAATGGCAGAATTGTGGGAAAGCTCTTACAGGGGACAGGGCTTGGCCCCCTTCTCTTGCTCTCCTACTGGGAGGCAGTTAGCAGTTCACTACAGGACAACAGTGATCGTGGTGTGGGCCATTGTGCCATTGCTGAAGGGGCCACCTAAGCAAAGCAGGAGAGGAATTTTTTACATCCTAAGAAACTTCTGCTTCTAATTTATCTTCTCGTTTGCACCAGGGGTGACGAACAAATGGAGAGGAATATCCAGTAGGCAGAATTTCTAGAATGTTCCCCCTCCACTGCAAAGATGTCCTCACTGCTTTCTCAAGCATGGGAATATGATGAGAAGTCACGCTCAGGATCAGGTCACGTTTACATGCTAGCCTTAAAATAGGGAGCTTACCCTGGGCTATCCAGGTGGGTCCAATGGCATCACATGAAGCCCATAGAAGCAGAAAGCCTTCCCTGGCTGGGGGCAGAAGGGAAAGTCACAGAGACTCAGAGTGTGAGAGGGGCTTGACCCAGCCATTACTGCCAATGGAGGGGCCCCATGAGAAGGGACACAGGTGTCCTCTAGAAGTAGTGACTGACCGTCGCTGGCAGTCCAACAGGAAACAGACCGCTTAATCCTATACCCATGAGGAAGTGCATTCTGCCAACAGCCTGAATGAGCTGGGAAGGGAATCTTTCCCCGAAGCTCCACATGAGCCCATTCTGGCCACCACCTTTGTCTCAGCCTTGCGATACTCACTCCAGCTCACATGGACTCCTGACCTACAGAACTGAGTCAATAAATTGATGCTGCTTTTAACTACTCATTTTGTGATAACGTGCTACACAACAATAGAGAAGTAATATAAATATAGCGTGTTTAATCCAGCTTCATCAAAATCAGCTTTGGCATCACCTAAAATATGACTTAATTAACTATCAGTGGCAACTTTACATTTTATACTAAAAAACACGCTGCGTCATTTCTGCATAATTATTCCATTAAACCGGACCAGAAAAATACTTTTACTACTACTCTAATAAAACAGATAAGCATGTAGTTGTGGATTTCAAAATTATTTTTAGCATAAATACATGCTATTTAAAAATTTTCTGTCCACTGTTCAAAGTGTAATATGTAGCTACACAATTAACCCTCAAAGTTGGGGGATGCCTGGGTGGCTCAGCAGTTGAGCATCTGCCTTTGGCCCAGGGCATGATCCTGCAGACCAGGATTGAGTCCCACATCAGGCTCCCTGCTTCTCCCTCTGCCTCTCTCTCTCTCTCTCTCTCTGTGTGTCTCTCATGAATAAATGAATAAAATCTTTTTTATAAAAACCCTCAAGGTTAGGAAAATAAAACTAGAAAACTAGTTTTTCTCAAGTTTAACCAACTTCTATTAGTGATATATGAGGAGTGAATTATCATATTGGGGAAAGGTTGCTTCCACTGTGCATTTTTTTTTATTTTATTTTTTTTATTTTTTCTTTTTTTTTTCCACTGTGCATTTAATATAGCTTTGACTGGTATTTTTTTCTCAACTCTCCCTAAAATACAAATGTTAATTCACATTAGGTTATTAAAGTTGATAAATTTTCTTTTTGCTGGTCAAGAGAAACATGAGCACACATACATACATGCACACATACAAACATGCACGTGTGCACAATGCACATGTACACACGTGCAAACACGCACACGTATCCACGCGCCCACACCCACACACACACACACCTTCACGGCAGCATCTACCTGCACACTCGTCAGTACAGACTGGGGCCGAGGCCACAGCACAGAGCGCAAGCCCTGTACCTGCACGGTGGTTATCCCCGGCTCCCGGCCCACCAGGGTCCTGCCGCCCTGCAGCTGCGCGATCCTGGGCTCCTCCACCTTCATGAAATCTGCTACGAGGTCGGTGATGTCAAACTGCCAGTCGGGGCCCAGCATGTAGCTCAGCTGACCCAAGTCAGGAGCCTCGGCCACGAACTGTGTGAGGACACGCACTGTGGCGTGCTGGTACTGCAGGGAGCACCCCCTCCCCTTCTTCTCCTCGTCCTCCTCGTCCTCGCTGTCTCGGGTGGGCCTGAGGCACAAACAAACGAAGATGAACATCACGTTGTTAAGGGGCTCTGTGTACCTCGTCTTGCAGAGTCTACATGACTGTTGGGAATACGTGACATGGTATTGCTCGCCATCAGTTCACTCACTAAACGTACCTGGTGGTTCCTGTGTACCATGCATGCTGCCACCTGCTCGGAGCACGGAAGGCAAGTGCCACCCCTGTCTTCACCTGCCCAGTGCCGCGGGACACCCTGCCCCAAACAGGCAGATGCTGTGTCCCCATCCTGTGTTCTGGAACTCTGCAATCTGAAACTCCCCACTGCGGGGAACGTGAGGTCCCAGGTGGGAAGATTTGCCAGGATGGGTTTCCACGGCCCCAACCCCGCAGAAGCATGGCTGCCCCTCCACTCCCTCCAGGTGCGCATGAGTTCACCTTGGTCAGGGTGGGGACGGCCCCCCAGGGACTGGAAGACTGTCATGAACCATCAGCATGGGACAGCTTGGCACTGGTTCCTGGCTGGTCAAGGCCCTCTGCTCCAGACAGGGTGGCTTCCTCTGAGCTCTCGGAGGCCAGGATACACTTTCCTAACCCCCACCCCACAGTGTTCAGCCACAGAGCAGCTATGGGGTCCTGTAGAAATTGGGGATACCCTGGCTCATGGTTCCTGCTTGCCTCTGCCTTCCTCCTATGGGCCCCAGCCGCTCCTCTTGCCCCACCTGTATACAGCCTGCCAGAGAAAGCCTCACTGGCTCTGCTGTTCCAGAACCTTCCCCTCAAGATGAACCTGTCCTGTGTGCTTTTGTGAAAAGACCTTGTTTGGTGACTAGTCTATGACCATCAGGGGACAGGGGTTGGTGTCAGGAGTGGCAGTGCTTCACACGCAGAGTCACCCCTACTATGTGCTGGGTCTGGCTCTACATGTCCATGTGACCATGACAGCCGACAGGTGGACAACGTCCCATACACCAACCACACACATTCATTTGACTCATTCGATCTCCACTCCAAGAAGGGAGGGTGTTCTATTATCCTGATCTTACCAGTGGGGAAACCAAGGCACAGGAGGAAAGGCAACTTGGTCCCGGCCACCTAGCTAGCCATCAAAAGGGAGATCCACGCCCAGGCTGCTGTGGCTTGCTGCACCCTCTTTCTCATTACAGTGAGCTCTGTTCACCTTCAAAACAGCCAAGAAACACGTTCCTACTTCTACATGAAGACCCGAGGCTCAGAGAGCAGGGGAGCAGCAAATTTCTGGACTGCCAATTTGACTTCTGAAACCTACTTCCTTTAAATTAGATTCTTCTGCCTCCCTGAAAGGTCCTATTTGGAAAATAACAGGAAAACTTTTACCAGTACCCAGAGAGAAGCATTTTGGGGTTTCCCAGAGTGAGGAGTGAATATCTCTCCTGGTAAGTGAGATGGTTCTGGGTGGTGAAGGACATAGGATCCCCACCACAGAATGACATTCAGAAGAGTTATTCCCATTTCACTTTTAGAATCAATCCTTCTAATTATATCACAGGGAACGAAGGTTTCTGGCACTGGGCTACCTCCAATGCTTCTCTGGCATTTGCTGGTTGACTTACCTAGAGACCAGCTCTATATCAAACAGCCATATCTATGCAGAACATAACACCAGTGTTGTCCTTTCTTTGCGTTAATTTTTACCGTTCAGCTAATTTTGATAGCCATGTGAAATGTCCCTTAAACAAATGACTAAAACTTTAAAAGGAGCAATAATAAGTATATATTATGGGGGGCTTTTAAAAGTGGCAGCATCATAAAAGTGGTGGGTGAATAAGTGAAGTTTTAGAAATACTGTCTTAATGAAACAGTTCTGTTACTTTAGGACAGACAGCATTCTGTTATTTTTTTAAAAAACTTAAAATTCTGAATTATTTAGAAATTCACAGTACGTTAGAAAACAATGTATAGGAGGCCCCGTATACTCTTTGCACAGCCCCTGCAGAATTAACATCTTACATTATCACAGCATAGTGCCACGGGCAGGAGACGGATGCTGGTACAAGCCACAGAGCTTACACAGCTTAACCAGTACACGTGTGTGTGCATGTGTGTGTGTGTTTCTATGCAATTGTGCCACCTGAGGGTTCTCATAACGATCACCACAATCCAGACACAGAACTGGTACGTCCCCACCGGGGTGCCCGGGGCCACTCCCTCACACTCCACACCATCTTGAACACATGGCAACCACCAATCTGTTATGCATTTTCTGCATCACTGTAAATGGGACCATATAGGATGTGAGCTCTGAAAACGCTGGTAAGGATGTGGAGTAACTGAATGATTCTTACATCGCTGCTGGGAGTGTAAAATGGTACTGGTTCTCTGGAAAATAGTTTGCTACTTTCTTTTAAACTATGCCCTATTCATATGGTCCAACAATTACACTCTTGGCCACTTTCCCCAGAAGCCTCAGGTGCATACACAAACTTGTCCAGGAGTGTCACAGCAGCTGTCGTGAGAGCCCCCACCTGGAGACAGCGTGAGCGGCCCCCCACGGACAGATGATTCAGCACGCTAAGACAGTACACACCATGGATTACCACTCAACACTGCATACCGGAACTCTTGATACAGCCAACACCTGGGGTGGATCTCAGGGGATTTATGCTGGATAAAAACATGCCCCGTTTTAAAAGGTTGCACCCTGTACAATACCAGCCACCAGCTAGAGAAAACTCTGCTTTCAAGGGGTCAAAAGACGGGTCAGGCCCCCCTGGATAACCTCTATATTTTAAGATTGGTGGATTTAGAATTTTAGTTACCTCTATAAAATCTCTTCCTAGAGGTACCTGATCAGAGTTTGAGTATATAACCAGGAGATGGGAATCTTGCACAGGTGTCATCTTTAGAAATCTGTCTACTGCACTATATGTCACTTCATACTTGGGACAGCTCTCTTCAGTAATATTACCATCTCCATTTATAGATTATAGATGAAGACATTGAGGAACAGAGAGGTTCATCAACTGGCCCAAGGTCACACAGCTCTGTATGGGGAAGCCAGAGTGAAAACTCAATGGCTTCATTCTAGAGCCTACAACCTAACCACTGTTGCACACTCCACAGATGAAGGCTGACATTTATAGCCAGGGACCTGGGAATGAACAACATAGGGAATAGGGAATAAAAAAAAAAAAAAAAAAAAAAAACTACACCCCATGCTAAGTGCTTCTTATGCTGTGCAACATTATCCTGAATCCCAGCAACTACTCTAGGCGATGGATATTATTCACATCTCTGGGATGATTTCCTCATATCAAAAGGCTAGTAAATACCCAAGTCCCATCCATCTGAACCCCAACCCCAGACCACTGTGACCACTGTGGATGCTGCTTCCCTGGGGCATGGGCCCCTATGGGCTAGCAGCCTGCCACAGTGATCTAGGTCCCAAAAGCCTGAGATCCCCTAGCTTTCTCGGGGACTCAGCCTTCCCTTGGCTCCTCACCTTCTGTTGGAGGCCACGGGGATCCTCCACCCCTTGATCTGGCTCAGCTCAGTGTCCGAGATCTCAATCTGCAGGGGGAGTCTGGGTGCCCAGACAGTGACCTCTAGCTGGGAGGTGAAATGTTGGTGTGTGAAGTTCACGGTCGTGTCCACTTTGCTCTTCATTTCCTTCCCGTTCACAAAGATGGAATCGCAGTGGTTGGAAACCTTTGGGAGAGTCAGAATCTCGGATGCATCAGCAGGAAAACACAGGACATGACGAGCAATGAAAGTTCATGAACTCTGATTTATTAGACACCAAGGACAACCCGAAGAACATGACTCGAACAAAAGGTAATTTGTAGGCACTAATTAGTGACAAATACTGATAAAGAGACTCCAGGAAAACCATTTTGTATTATGAAATACTGACAAGCAAAACCATAAACATAATTTAATGGAGTTCTATAACCTTTGTTGCCTCTTTTGTGTGTTTTTTCTTTGCCTCACCTTTTTTATGTACTCAAACCACCAATAATCAAACCCCAGGTGCAACATATTTCACTCTTGCACCATATTTGAAGATGCATAAAAGGTGGCCATATGTTGCTAAGAAAAAACCCACTTTATTTAAGCCATAAAGAGGATCTTCTCTGAAAAACCAAGGAAGCTTTGCCCTAGATTAAAATCTTTGCGGGAAATGCTCACGAAATGTGGATACAATTACTTGGCCCCATTAAACTATAACTTTGCCAACTGTAAGTATGGAAGTAGCATGTGTTTACAGTGTTTTGGCTCAGCACTTGGGGTACCCTTTTAACGCACCTGTGTTAGCTGGCTACACATCACACAATTCCAGCCTTCATATCACTTCTCCTCTCCCAGATAAGCCAGTAAAGTGTCGGTAACATCTCTCTCTCATGGACCATCAGGAAAATGTCATTTATGTACATAGGTGGGGAGGGTGGGAGAGGGGGCGAGGGTCACTTCAGGTGCCACCACGTTTTGCAAGCCACAAATGACAACTTACTCTTGACTTTCTCTTCCTCTTCTGAGTTGGTCCCCACAGCCCAGGCCTCACCTGCAAGCCCCAGACGCTCAGGTCCAGAGCAAGATCAGAAGTGTCAACTTCCAAACTCCAAGAGCAAACTGCTCATTGTTTGAGACAAATTATCATCCCCCCGCCCCCTGCCAATTCACCTGGAGAGAAAGAGTACTGAGCATGAATGTGCCTCCAGGAAGAGAAGGAACAGATGCGACCAGTTAACTTAGAAGGAAATCAAAGACCAAAGAGGAAAATAAGCGGCCGGACACCGAGCCCTCTTCCCACACATCAGGCTCCTGGCCACGTCCACCTGTCCATGTCCCAATGTCTTCAAGCATCTTTAAGTAGAACTGACCAAGGTCACTAACAGAAACATGGGCTGAAATCCTAGCAACATGGACTGGGTAAGCCTGGGCCTCAGAGCAATGGACAGGGTGCTGGAGGGTGACAGCAGCAGATGCCCGTCCTATGGGGACTAAGCCGTCCAAACACGATGAACTGAGTAAATCGGCTGTCTCCTGAGTGTGCCCAGGATTGTGAAGAGAGCAATCAGAACAGGATTTTCTTTTTTTTTTTTTTTAAGATTTTATTGATTTATTCATGAGAGACACAGAGCGAGCGAGCGAGCGAGAGAGAGAGAGAGAGAGAGAGAGAGAGGCAGAGACAGAGGGAGAAGCGGGCTCCATGCAGGGAGCCTGACATGGGACTCGATCCCGGGTCTCCAGGATCACAACCTGGGCTGAAGGCGGCACTAAACCGCTGAGCCACCAGGGCTGCCCTAGAACATTATTTTCAATTAGAGCAGAAAGGGAACAAAGGACCACATTCTTATTTTAAAATCCTGTAATGCTGACACAGGGCGGGCCCAGCTGCCCTTCCATCAGGTACTCTGGGAGGGGTGCCTCACTGCATGAAAACCCTGCCTTCCCACTGCAGCACTCACTGGGAGACAGACCCCAAGCTCCCTGAATATCGCTGGACTCCGCTGCAACATGCAGGTCCCCCTCAAGAGAAAAAGGCTCCTTACCGATGGCAATACTGTCCTCTCCCTGGCTCAGCTGGTCCACACAGGTCCTAGAACTTTCCTAATCCCACCTCCTACAGTATATACCTCCTGCATTTGTGGAAAATTCTGGCTTCTCCCTGTCTCTGGCTACCCATCCACCTGCCCTCCCACCCTTTAACAGAAACACATCCTGCCAGCAGAAACACACCTGTTTTAGAGACCATAAGTCCCTTTCTGTGCATAAGAAGTTTTGAATCTCATGCAGATGGGATGGCCTACCTGGAAAAACTTAAATTAAGACTCTAACAAAGTCAGAGGCCTTAGAAATTCATTTACTTTCTTTCTCCTGAAACACAGCATACCCTTAAAACAAAGAATGTGTCACCATCCTTCACTAATTCAATTACAACAGCTCAAATGAGGTCAATCCTGTTGAATGCTAAGTCCTGAGGTACACAACAATGTTCACAGTATGTATCAGATTTATGGACTGCATGTGAGTGACCCCTCCAAAATTCATTTGTTGAAATCCTAGTCCCCAATATGGTATCAGGAGATGAGGCCTTTGAAAGGCAATAGGGTCATAAGTGTGGAGTCTCACACACTCTGAGACTCTGGGGAGCTTACTTCCTCCCCCTGGTCCATCCCATGAGAACAGGACCAGAGCCAGCCGCCCATAAACCAGAGGGAAGGCTCTCCCCAGATACCCATGCTCTGATCTCAGACTCTCCCATTTTCAGCACCACCAAGAATAAATGTTTGCTCCTTGTGGACACCCTATTATTTGTGGGCTCCATGTTCTCAAATACATCTCCCTGCTAATATCGCTCATGGTACCATCGTGGCAACGCCAAGAAGGACAGAGAGTGGTGAATTTGAGTCCCCTGCCCCTCACACAAGCTCCCAGCTGATGTCACAGCAGCTGACGCCCAGTCCTCCTGTGTTACTCCTCATGCAGAGAGGACCAGACAAGGGACAAAGGAGGGGGTGGGTAGCGCGGTGTGAGGAGCTCCTGTGCTGGGGCTTGGCAGATTGGGTTCAAATCCCTGCTCCAGTGCGTGTTGGGCAACCTCATGCAAGTCGCTTCCCACTTTCCAACCTCATTTTCTTTTTTTGTAAAATAAAGAGAATCTCACAGGATAGGTTGCTTTTAGGACTTCAGAGTATGGTCTGCATGAGATGTGTATGTGTGTGTTTCCACCTGAAGGCTCAGTATCTGCTAATTCAGTGTCTGCAGTGACTTAACAGATCATGACTTCAGTGAATAATGAGAATGGAAATAGTACACACTTCCCAATTGTATGGACTTCAGTCCCAGCAGCCTTCCATCTTCTCAATGCACAGTCCCCACAAAAACTCTGTGTGGTGGACATCACGATCCTCATTTTCCTTGAATCAAATCCAGGATAGAAGAGGGAGTGCTACTTGCCCTGGGCTTTGGGGGTATGTGCACAATGATGTAAGCCCTCAGCCCCCAGGATGGCTGGTCCCTGGCCCAGTGCTCTCTCCTCCTCCCGCTCATGTCAGGCTCCCCAGTGACTTCCTGTGGCACACTGGGTAAAATCCAAACTCCTGATTATGGTTTACAGGCTTGATGACCTGGACCTCCTCCTTCTCCAGCCTCGCCTTGTACACACCTCGCCTCCCAGCACAGGACCCCTCCTAGTAGGTCCTCTTTCTCTCTCTGGAGCTCTCCTGGACTCATCCCCTCTCAAGGCCCTTCCATGATCTTCCCATGTCTGAATTCTGATACTTGTCCAGGTCTGTGGAAACATTAACTGGCTGCCTACAGGCCATCCAACCACCCACACCAGCGCTTCTGCCCCAACATACATGCACCTTCTTCCTTTCTAACATTACAAAGATTTTGTTCAGAAAACCCACTGCACCCCATCCACCATGGGCCCTGCCAAGCCAGTCATTCTACCCCATTCTCTTTGCCAGCGATTGGCTTAGGGGAGACTGTGTGACACAATTCCAGCCAATGAGGCATGAGAAGCTCATGGGGACACTGGAAAGGTCTCCTTGCCCAGGAGAGATGCCCAGGAAGCTGCCCTCCTTCCCCTACTGGATGCTGTCACCTTGCAGATGACAACTGGGATTGCAGCAGTGATCTCAGAGCCTTGAGAGAGCTGGCGCGGACCAGGCTGACACCGTGTGCATGAAGAACAGAAGAGCAGAAGGAAGCAAGTCCTCTGGGATGAAGATGGACCACCAGACCAGCCCACCTGTAACCACCTAACCTCCTACCTTCTTATCCAGGTAATCTACTTTCTCTTGTTGTTAAAGCTGTTTGGTCCATGGTTTTTTGTTCCTTACCACCAAAAATAGCATAAATTTTACAGGACAGCTCAGATGCCTCTACAGAAGGCATTCCTTGAGTCATTTCTAATTTAAACTTGGCACTCTCTCACCTGGTCACTCTGCACCTCAATACACTGTTTTCCTCTAATTTATGTGTGTGCTCCTGTGTAGACTACACTCACAATATTTCCATGTTGTCTATAGCATTATCACTTAAAACATTCATATCGTTCATGTCATAGGGCTTACACCATACTGATTACACTAGACCACTCTACCTATACAACACTACACAGTTTGCCTTTCAAGACTTAGCACCATCTGAATGCTCTTGCTTGTTTTCTTGTTATTATCTCTGTTCCCCACCTGGAGGTGATCTGTTTGAGAAACATGGACCTTTCCCCTCTTAACTGTTAGGTCTGTACATCCTTCTGCAGTGGCACATACAGTCTACATGGCACACTGAGGTGTTCAGCAGGTAGTCACTCAGTGAGAATTGATCTCAATGGTTTCCTCTGTGGTGCCATTCATTCCCGTGCCCCATGAGAAGCACATCTGGGTCAGAAGGGGGACGAGGAGCCTTAGACAAAGTTATCATGTTCATGGCATTCACACAAAAGTTCGTTTAATACACCCTGAGAGGAGACAGACCAGTAGGAGAAACCAAGAGCAAAGCTCAGGAAGCTGCTGGTCAAAGAGTTGATAAATTGGATTCCTAGTATGAATGTGGCCTCTTAGCCAGGAACAGAGATCTCTGTGTCATGTCACCCATGTGTATGTGTGTTGGGAGGGGACAGGAAGACACAGCAGCAAGGTAAGATCAGCCAAGCTCCCACCTCTCATCTAAATGATACCATCGGGGCTCTCTTGAGC